ACGGCTCCGAAAAACCGGGAACCGGGCTTCGAAATGGGCAGAATGGCCTACGGCCACCAAATTTAGCCTACGGCCACTGAGAGATGGTCTACGGGACCTCTCCCTCCCCTCAGGAAAAGAAACAGAGAAAACCGAGTCTGGTTCGCAAACCGAGACAAGGCACAGAAAAGGGTTCGGGAGTCCGGAGGCAGGGCTCACGGCCGCAACTCCGAAGCTTCTGAACGAGCACATCATGCAACATCACCAAGCGCTCAATTGGTGACGTCTGAGTCTTAAGGTCGGTCAAAAATGGGGTGTCTACAGTTGCCCCTCTTTGACAGAACTCGGAAGTCATAACAATGACGGGAATGAGTGTCAAAGCCCAGAGACGATCCGTTTTTGACAAGGCTGAAGACTTAGACAATCAGGTAAGATAAACAGAGATGCGCCAGCAGGCATGCCCGCAGGCAGGGAGGCAAAATGCAACTGGTAATGTAAGACGCCAAAGGTGACTCAATGATCATTCAAATGCAGCAAGCTGTAATGAAGCACATATTCACAACAGATGCAACAGTTTTAAGCAAAAATGCAAAGCAACAACTACATTTCATGCAGTTAAGAATGTAAGAAAATTATGCAATTCTCATTGCGTCTCACGCGGAGAAGGCTAAAAGTGACTACTGAGAATACCCGGAGTCTCACACACAACATCTCTCTGCGTATCACACATAGGAGAGGAAGAAGGTAAACCTCTCAGCGTATCACACGTAAGAGAGGAAAGGTAAACTTCTCAGCGTATCACACGCAAGAGAAGAAAGGCAAATTCCTCAGCGTCAAAGGAGGAAAGATAAATTTCTCAACGTATCACACGCAAGAGAAAACCTCACAGCATATCACATGCAAGAGAAAACTGCTCAGCACATCAGCGTATCACACGCAAGAGAAAAACCTCTCAGCATATCACATGCAAGAGAGAAAAGATAAGTTTCTCAGCGTATCACACGCAAGAGAAAAACCTCTCAGCATATCACATGCAAGAGAGAAAAGATAAGTTTCTCAGCGTATCACACGCAAGAGAAAAACCTCTCAGCATATCACATGCAAGAGAGAAAAGATAAGTTTCTCAGCGTATCACACGCAAGAGAAAAACCTCTCAGCATATCACATGCAAGAGAGAAAAGATAAGTTTCTCAGCGTATCACACGCAAGAGAAAAACCTCTCAGCATATCACATGCAAGAGAGAAAAGATAAGTTTCTCAGCGTATCACACGCAAGAGAAAAACCTCTCAGCATATCACATGCAAGAGAGAAAAGATAAGTTTCTCAGCGTATCACACGCAAGAGAAAAACCTCTCAGCATATCACATGCAAGAGAGAAAAGATAAGTTTCTCAGCGTATCACACGCAAGAGAAAAACCTCTCAGCATATCACATGCAAGAGAGAAAAGATAAGTTTCTCAGCGTATCACACGCAAGAGAAAAACCTCTCAGCATATCACATGCAAGAGAGAAAAGATAAGTTTCTCAGCGTATCACACGCAAGAGAAAAACCTCTCAGCATATCACATGCAAGAGAGAAAAGATAAGTTTCTCAGCGTATCACACGCAAGAGAAAAACCTCTCAGCATATCACATGCAAGAGAGAAAAGATAAGTTTCTCAGCGTATCACACGCAAGAGAAAAACCTCTCAGCATATCACATGCAAGAGAGAAAAGGTAAATTTCTCAACGTAGGGTGTCAATTATGGTGAACTCTGTCTTCACCCTCTTGGTGCCA